CCATAATATGCTGAAAAAAAAAAAACATATAGTGTGTTTTTTCAATGGACTAAAGATGAAAGGCTTTTCTATCTATAAAATGCACCACATATATCTACTGAATTCTTACCATTCCATAGGGATAGGGGAGAATATTCCTAATAATGATAGAGCTAGAATTTTCTGAATGCCTGGTTGAGAGCTCAGATTTGGATTTGGTTAATTTAAATGAAATTATTAAACTATCGCTCCTCTTGCAAATCGAACTTTGTGGGAGTATCAATACCTAATGCACACATATTTTATAGAAGAACTACCTACTACACTTAAAGTGTCAAGAAATAGAAAATGACTTAAATCTACAGTCTGTTATTCATATTCTCAGGTATCATTGCTGCTAAATATGTTGTAAACTTACAATGGTGAATTAAGGGCTCTAAATAAAAATAACATTTCCAGCAACTTTTTTTGTGGTTTAAGCAGTATTTCTATTAGGCATTAAGTTGTATTATGTTTTCAATATTGATTATAACTTTCTTGGATAAAAATGAAACTCTTTAAATACTCTCCCCATAAGTTATTTTTTGTTAATTATTCTATCACCAAATTTTTAAAAGACCTTTATTTATGACTCATTTAATTTATAACAGTATTTTTTAATTTTTAGTCATTGTCTTCTCATTTAGACCTGAATCTAAACACTAGCCATGGCTCACCATGCTTTCCCCTGCTCATCCCAGCTCACTACCCCTCTGTTTTCCTTCTTTACTATGTTTTCTTTTTTCCTACACTCAGTTTGCTCCACCTAATGAGTTCTCATTCAAAATGCTTTTTCACCACAAGGCATTTTTATTGTTCTGCCTTTCCCATCTTTTTATAGATAATTCCATGGCTCACTCCCTCAATTCCTTCAGGTTTCTGCTCATATAGCAACCTAATCAAGAGGCCTTCCTTGGTCTCCTATTCTATTTATCCCTTCTTCATTCACTTACCTATCACTACATGCATTATATATGTTTAATGTCCCCAGCCATGGGGTTGTATACTCTGTGACACAAAGGGTTGTGTTTGCTCTGATCACTGACTTCATGTCTTTATCACCTAGAATACAACCTGACACATAAGTGACAATAAATAATGTGTAGAATGTAAAAACACTAACACTATTCTGTTTAAGGTATGATTGTTAAAAATTTCCAATAAATGTCTTCTATAGTTTATTCTGAGTGTTTGCAATTTTAAGAAGTAATTTGAATAGTCTTATCTATTATTTTATTTAATGTGCTGAATTTATTTATATACTGCCCCAGGCTTACTTAATCATCTGATATAGGACATCTAAACCCATCTTTAAGAATATATCCTGCTCCTGAACATTCTTTGATTTAATTCTGTGTTTATTACTTATGATAATAATCAGAGACTAATAAAGTTGTACCTTGGAATATTTTTCATTTACTTTATAATTTCTTTCATTACAAAATGAAGAAGTATAAAAGGATAACATATTTATTTTTGAACATTCACATCTTATATCTTTCAGCCTGGGGCTAACTGAAGTAAAAGTTATTTTGTTCTGGGTTTGGTTTCTGCTTGAGAATCTTTTATTAGTGTTTCTGCCCTCTAATGCAGAGATCCCAGTTTTATGCAGTTCCCCATTAAAGCCCTGGCTCAAATGAGAGCATTGTGGAAATTTGCTTTTGAAGGACTCCTTCTCAAATTTAAGCCCTTATTTGGGGGCCTTTTCTGTTAAAACATTAGGGTGTTCTCTAATTTCTGTAAGAAATGTGGCCTTCCCAGAAAAGACTCATACACTACTTTAATCACATTCTAATTTTGTATATTCACTTATCACATTCATTCAACAATTAATTTAGAAAATATGAGGTCTATGATGAATTGATAAATACGGCCATTGTTTGAAGTCTAGGAAGTTATAACGTCAGGTTTACTTTTGCTACATAGGTTCCTCTTTGTAAAACTTAAAAAAAATTTGAAGTATAATATACATAAAGAAAATTATACTTAATTGTATAGCTTCATGAATTTTCTCACAATAAATCCACATGTGTAACAATCACCAGGTTAAAACACAGAAAGTTTTAAGCATCTCAGAAGATTCCTTTATGCATTTTACTGCCTCATTCATTCCAAAATCTAACCACTCCCCTGAATTTTAAACCCATAGAAATATTTCGCCTGTTTTTTTTAAATTTTATTTTATCATACTATGGGGGTACAAATATTGTTAGGGTTATATATATTGCCCCTGCCATTCCTAAATTTATAGTAGCTATACTTTTGTGTCTCACTTCTTTTGCTCAAATCTCTTTTAGGAGATTCATCCATCCTGTGTATTGTGTGTAGCTATCATGTGTTCATTTTCATTGTTTTATAAAATCCCATAATGCGAATATACCATAGTCACTTCTAGCTTTGGCTATTACAAATGAAACTGCCATGGACAATTTCAATATATAAATTATATTATATATAATATATATATTTGTATGGCAAACATAGAAATGTATTTCTGTTTGTTATATGCCTAGGAATGAAATTGGTGGATCATAGGAATTTACATTTTCACACTTAGCAGAGTAACATTCATCGAATGTTGGGCAGCCAGTGGGGCGGAAAGGATGGGTATATGCACACTTAATGGGTATGGTGTGCACCATCTGGATTTTTAAATTTTTAAAATATAGTAGAAAAATATAGGAGAAAACTGGTATACTCAACATTGTAAATGTGTTAATTGTTCCAAAATCTATAGATTTAACTCAATGTTGATAATATTCCAAATGGATTTATGTGGAAGTTGAAAAGATAATTGTAAAATGAATACAGAAATACATTGGGCCAATAATATCCAAGAAAATCTTGAAGAAGAACTAAGTGGGAGAACCTACTTCACCAGATACTAGGATGTATTATAAAACTACTTTAATCCACATGATGGGATATGTGTGCATATAGATACAAATGGAGCAATGAAAGTGAATTGAAGTCTAGAAATAAGCCCACATATGTATTAACAAATTTTATGACACACTTAGTATTGCAGAGCAATGGGAAAGCAATAGTATTTTTAATTAATGGTGTTGTGACAATATGATTCCAAATGAAAAAGAAATTAATTCTTAACCAATTCCTCCTACCATACATAATAATGAATTTCAGGTGAAGCATAGATCAATTCAAATGGTAAACCAATAAAGCTCATATAGATAATAACATAATATATTATCATAATGGTATTTATTAGTCAAATACTTTTTAAATAGGGTAAAAATATAAAGTAAAAGTTTTTCTAAAAAATAAACTATATAAAATGAAGAATGTGGAAGGTCTTCATCAAAAATTATCATTGAGCAAAATTTTAATACATGGAGAAGGAAAATTTATTTGCAACTCATAGAACAAAAGGCTCATATCCTGCATATAGGAACAACTCATAATTTTGTTGAAGTTCAAATTAAATTTTCACTTTTTGAATCAGCCTGTGATTTATATGTAATAAATATTTGGCTATCCCAAAGTCATATAGATTTTATTATATGGGTTATCTGTTTTATTCCTGTAATTTTTCTAGTTCTATATCAAAAACTTTGAAATTAATTATTATAATATATGTATAGGAAGCCTCACAAATTCATAATCTATAATCAGTATGTGAAGAAACAACTTTTATCAAACAATTTACATGGCTACACTAATTGACTATTTTATAGGCAATCCAATAGCTTATTTTTTAAAGTTACTTTTCTTGGTGGGGGGGGTCTTAATTATATCAAATAAATTGAATCTAATAATTCAATTTTCTACTGGTTTCTTTACATTTATATTTTGAATAGAATATATTTTGATATTTCAAAGACACATCTTGTGTAAGTGTTTAATACCTTAATCAATTTTCACAATGTAGATGATATTGATTTTTCAACAGAGTCTATCAGACTAATAATGAGGAAAACAATTCAGAGATTATTTTATTCTGGCTGCAGAGAAATTGAAAATCTAGAGTAAATCTCTTCATCATATGATAAACTATTTAATATTTCTGTAAAATAACTTTCATAGGTTAAAGGTGACAATGACCCTGAATTCATAAAATCAACCAATTGTTGGACATTTTTTACTTCCATATCCTGTGTAATGCTCTCTCCCTTACAAATGAGCTGAGCAACATTTGAGAGAGTATATGTTATTATTAATCTATCACTGTTCATGGTTATTTCAATAAGTGATCAATGTATATAGATTTATCCTTGCAAGAGAGGTATAATGTAATTATGAAGCTACTAAGAGTGCCTAGTAAATGTATTGGTTGATTAGAAACATTTTAGGAAGTTAAGAGAAAGAAGGACTGTCTCCAATGTCACAATAGAGGGGAGAAATCACAAAGTTGCTCAGATGAAACCAGAACTCCTCTGACCCGCCACTTATTTAGCTATCATTGTTTACTTTTTCTAATATAACACATATATTTTCATCCAGTTAAACTAAACCAAACACAGGAATAGAAAACAAATCTACAGTTCTTACCCTGAATGAAAATTGTGATGTTTCTGTATAATTTATTTGCTTGGAGGTGGTGTTTAATAAATGTTGCCTTGATTCAAACAAACTTCCTTATGATCAGATTTGAACACACTTAGTACATAAAAATAATATTCAGTATAATAAAATCCATTTGTTGCGCAGAATACTGCTATAGAAACTGAATTCACTGGAGGACTTAATTTGTCCACCAAACACAGCTATGTCAAATAAAATCTGAAAACAACAGGGAGTGCCCTGTCATGTCTGGGCCATGTCTTTCCCTGTCCTCTGTGGCTACATGCATTTGCTTTCTGAATCACATTAGCCACAAGCAGACACATGAGAACTAAAAAACATGCTCTAAAAAACCTGCTTTTATTTATAAGATAACTTAAAATGCATTTTCTGCAATTTGGGCCAAACCTCTCACTCAAACAGGAAGCATTCTGTCTTACAGCATCTAGGGTACCACTTACATTATTGTTTTGCAAGACCCGCAGTGCCTTGTTGACATTGTTCAGGGCATGAACTCTTGTGGATCCTTTTTCTTTTGGCTGAAAACAAAATGAAATAGTGTTCACTGCCCAGCAGAGAGACCAACAATCTACTAGCAATGAAACAATTTATAAATTTCATTTTGACTATTTTAAATGAGCACAGGCTATGCTGCATTGATATAATGAATATAAGTGCTTTAGGCTAATTGTCCTTGGCCTGGTGCCTTTTTAGCAGGAACCAACCACTCCCCAAGAATGACAGCACTTTTTTTTTCTTTCAGAAAGGCTATTTTGGTATGATCCCTCCTTCATTCTATAGCCCAGTTGGGTATTACTGCATGACCATCAATGAGAGAAATATCAGCATGCATAAAAACATTTCCTAATAAGATAGATAAGCAAGTTAATTTTAAAACCTTTTAGGAAAATTTAGAGTAGATTTGAGTCTAGTGAAATTATATGATGCCAAATAGGGTTAAATGAAACTATTTCTGTGAATATTATCTTAATTGCGCTACTCATTGAAGCTCAAAACTCAATCATCTTTGCTTTCCTAACCTACACTCTCAATCCCCAAAGTTATATCTTTTACTGTGATGTTTAAAGTAACATCTGCATAGTTCACTACAATATAAAAATTATCTCATTTATTCAGTTGTAGAGTTTTAGAAATTCCCACTGCTATGATGTCTATTGTATTTACTCTTTCCTTCTATTTTCATTTCTTTTACCTTAATACAAATCCTCATAAGTTATCACCCAGAAAACATCATAACTTTGTTTTCTTCTTACTCACTGTTTCTTCTTTTATCCATCCTGCATATCTTCAATGATTATGTTACTGAAGGAAGCCCACTGCCAGTGCAAACCCACTTACCAAGTTCCCCTCTCAATTTTAGGATGACTATAGTTAATAGTTAAGGGCATGAACTACAAAGCTGGACTTCCTGGGTTCAACTTTCAGCTTTTTCACTTTTATGCTATATGACTTTGGGCAAATTTCTTAAACTTCCTGTACCCCAGAGTTTTCTCATCTGTTATAATGGAGTTAATAAAAATAACTTGCTTCGTATATTTGCTGAAAGAATTCAATGTGTTAATGTGTATAAAACGTTTAGATTGTCACATAATAAGTACAATGTAAATGTTTGCTATTATTATTAACTTTGTAGCCTATGCCAGATACTTTGAGTGCACTACTTCTAAACCCCTTTGTGAGGCAAACAGTTTCATCCTCATTGTATAGAAAGTGAACCTCATGATAAGAGCTAACATATAGATAGGGATACAACTAATAACTGGTAGAGCCAGGATCCAAATTTTGATCTGTGCCTGTGGAGTCAAAGACTTTCAAAATCTATTTCTTTCTTATTTCTCTAACTACCTTCTATATGCAGCAACGAAATAACCTGATTTTTTTTACTTCTTGAGTTTTGCTTCTATACTTTCCAGCATTGCTCCTGTCCTTTTTATGCAGTTCCTTACCCTAAAACACCTTACCACTTTCACTGCCTGCTGAAAATTCCAAATTAAGCTAAAACATGCTACGATAAAAGATGATTTGCCTGATACTCCTTATAAAACAGTGTTGATGTCCTGTTTTTCAACTTCTCACAATTTTAAGTATAACTGTATGAATAGGAATCTCTATTTTTTACCTATTGGAAAATTTTCCTACAAGAATGTCAAGACGATACAGACACATTTTGGTATGTTTCCCACTTCCCATCACAAAGAGGAAGGAAATAAGGCCATAGAAAGATAAGAATTTAGATTAAAAAAATCAGCAAAAAATCAATCTTCGTGTGTGTGTGTGTGTGTGTGTATTTATAATCTCATAGCATATAAGTCTAATGGTAATTTTAGAAGTTTAAAGTTTTTAAAATAATTACCCAAATCAATCATCTGCTTAGTGTTTACATGAAAGCTATATATCACCCTTTAGCTGGTTGCAGATGAATTGCAGTGATAAGATTTAGTAGCATGTTCCTTTACTATAAACTAAAAATTCAAACATTAAATGTACACAACTATATACATATGTGCATATTTATCAGAATCAAAGAAATTCTATTCTTAAAATAAGCTGCAGTTTCTGATCCTAAAGTGCAAACTTAAATCTGCCCCTATTAGAGTCTCTTTGGGGAATAATTCTAATTTTATAGTTCTAAGGCAAGTACCTTCCGTTTAACCCTAGGGATGTGCTTAGCCGATAATCCAAATGCAGATGCTTCCAAGTAGAATACTAAGATTTCTGTTCAATAGCATACATGACTCCCATTAGGGGTAGAAGATATATCTCTGCAGAAACTATTAGGATTCAAGAACAGGTACAGAGAATTAGAGTTCTGAAATTGGGAGGATGTACGGATGAGAGAGGTGAGTCTGCTCTGTGGGAAAGGTAAAGCCCTCAGACCAGGGCTGACAGATTTGTAACTAGGATGAATAATGAATTACAGATTCTGTTAGCAGCAGTATCTGAAATTAAATAGTACATATTGGCATGTATAAATATTTGGTGATTTTCTCCCACTACCCAATTACTCCATACTGGCCAATTTCATGGATGTTTTGGTCACGATTTTTTCTTATTTTGTGTTACCTATTAGGGTTATTTTATCTTTGCATCTATGTATGTATATATCTCAATGAAAACCTCAAGTTCTTTATTTTCAAAAAATTTTAAACACTGTGCCTATATTAAATTTGTTAATCCTGAAAAAATTACTTTGGGTGATGGAAGAGTTGTCTCAGTCAAGGAAATGACCAGAGAGAGTTGCAGCACCACAAAGAACTAGTTACAGAGGTACCCAGAAGTAAAGACCAAAAAAGCCTTGTGCAGAGGGTCCAGGACAGGTTGGAGAACCCATGATCTCATAAAGAATTTTCACAAACACTTGGAAGACACTAGGGCTACCTTATTTGGTAACTGACCCCAGAAATTGGGGACATACAGACATACACTGATTTCTGTATCTATCTGTGTACATATATACATACTTATATATATACATAATATGCATACAAATATAAATTGTTCACATAGTCATAGGATATGGATGATTATTCACAAAAATATCTCTAACCAGTGAAGTTAACCCTAAGTGTACAGAATGACCTCAAATTGGCTAAAAGCAAAAAGTTCATCTGTAAGGCAAATCTGATTTTTTTTTACCTGACTCAACTGATTATTTTAATATATCATTAAGTTCTTTTTATATCAATACAATTCAGACTTTTTGGAAATATTTAAATTTAAATTTAATTTAATAATATATTAATCTCATATAGTAGTTGAAAATGATTAAAAAATGAAAATGAAAGCATAAGGTATATCTCTTCCCTGTAGGACTCAGAATTTAATTGAAGAGAGTGGCAACTTGTCTTAGCATAAGTGAGTTGCAGAAGGCAAGTTAGGAGAATAGAAAATTTGGTATCTTTGACTTTGAATAACAGCTAGAGTTTGTATATTATCAACAAAATCTGTGTGTATGAGCATGTGTGTTTGTTTGCATGGTTGTGTGTGCAAGCGTTGGAGAGTTGTAGTGAAGGGCAAAGGGAAGAGAGTAAAGAAATAATTTAGCAGGACTAATTTGATATGCAGAATGGCTATGACTGTAGATTGGGGGCTTAAAATCTACTTATTAGTAAATAGCAATCTAAGAATAAGATTATTTCAGTCAGGAGATTTGAATTCTAGAGCATTTTTCCCCATTGTGAGACCCTAATCAACATGATTTTATTGACCTCTAGCTGTGTATAACAATATCTATCTCACAGGAATTCTCTGAAGTTAGACTAGATAATAGTTCTCAAAGGGAAGTTACATTCTCATCACATATGCATTGTGTATTGGACTAAAATGCCTATACTTTATTATCCTGCACCACATTAATTTTTTCTTTATTTATAAACTAATACAGATTCATTGCAAAATAATTGTAAAATAGACAAAAGCACAAAGATAATTTCAAAAGTCATTACAAAAAAAAAGTCATTACATATAAAAGCCTTCATAAAAACATTCAATAAGAAAGATACCAAATAATAAAATTGACTATCTATTAATTAACATAAATTATATTACTGAAAATGTTAATGTTGTTGTTCGACATATGATAGACTATGCCAAAATGAAAATAATAATGTGAGATTGTTTTACTTAGAAATAGGTCCTATAATGCTAGTTAAATCAATAATCAGTAAATTACTATATTTTATGAGATTTTTTAAAATGATGCTATTTTTTTTCTGGTCTACAATTCTACTAAGGTTAATATTAACTTTCTTAAAAATAAGTCACGCACCAGTTTTTGCCCTGTCAGGCCTTCAAGGAGGTCTAGGAGGCGTCTCCCATCCTGCAGGTCACTGAAGAGGTTCTCTATATGCTGCTTCCCATACTGAAATACAAAATATATTCAATTTAACAAAGCACACTTCAGTTGCTCTATTTCCAGGATTATGCCTTTTGAAAATTAAAGCTATATATAAGGATATTTAATGTATATAATTTTTAATCTGTCAAGAGTGATGGGTGAAAAAAGATAGTTCTAGTTTAAAAAGAAAACAGAGGAAAATTTGATAATTAGGTCAAATCTATTTGAATTATTCTTGAATAGCAAGAATTGGAGATCTTTGGCCTAATTGATTTATAATAATTAAGCCATATTATGAATGCTGATTCTATGAATGAAAGAAAAAATATTTACACTATCAGGCAGTTTGAGGTAGAGGGAGAAGTAAACATACAAAGAAACAAAGATTGCACATAATTTTCCCTACGTGGGCACATGCAATTTAACTGTTGTGTACTTGGAAGTATAATATACAATTATAAAGTGTTCAACATACTCAGAACATGAGTTCAATATACTCATACTCATTGTACAGAACATGCTTTCTCTATATACATATTTTGAACACTGTTTCAGAATGACCTATTTTCATATTGAATAACTCAAATTTAAGGAATACCTGGTTAAAATAGAGTTGAAATAAGCCTCTGAAAATGTTTTATCTATTTTTCTCAGTTCCTTCCTCAGGAAATATAATAAAGAAAAATAATAGTAACCAATAATATCTAACATTTTTAGAGTAACTGTTCTCAAGAGACACTCCACTAAACAAGTGGTTCTTATCACTTTTATAACATTTATGTGAGGTTAGCATTAATATACTCATCTTGCAGATGAGACACTGAAAGGTTAATATGTGATCAAGCCCTCTTGCTAGATTGACAAAAACTCAAAGGGAGAAGACTCTAATAAACTCAATTAGAAATCAAAAGGAGAGGTCAAAACAGATACCACAGAAATATAAAACATTATTTTTTAATACTATAAATACCTATATGCCCAAAACTACATAATATGGAGGAAATGGCCAAATCCTGGAAATATAACACCACCCTAAGTTCACCCAGGAGGAAATAGAATTCCTGAACAAACCAATAAAAAGCACAGAAATTAGAGCAGCAATTAAAAGCCTTTCAAAAAGGAAAAGTTCCAGACCAGATGGCTTCACTTCCAAGTTTTACCAAACATACAAAGAAGAACTCATACCTATACTACAGAAATTATTTCACAATGTTGAGAAGGATGATATCCTTCCTAACTTATTATACAAAGCCAATATCACCTTGATACCAAAGCCAGGAAAGGACACAACAATAAAAGAAAACTACAACCCAATATCCCTCATGAATATAGATGCAACAATCTTCACCAAAATTTTAGCAAATTGAATGCAACATCATATCAAAAAAATAATTCACCATGACCAGGTGAGCTTTATACCAGAGATGCAAGGCTGGTTCAACATACACAAATCTATAAATGTAATTCACCTCATAAATAAAAGCAACAACAAAGACCATATGACTCTCTCAATAGATGCATAAAAAGCATATGACAAAGTCCAGCATACCTTTATGATAAAAACTTTTAATGAAATAGGCATAGATGAGACATAACTTAAAATTAGCAAGGCCATATATGACAAATTCACAGCCAATATCATAGTGAATGGGGGAAACTGAAAGCATTCTCATTTAGAACCAGAACCAGATAATGTTGCTCACTATCTCCACTTCTACTCAAAATAGTGCTGCAAGTCCTTTCTAGAGGAATTGTACAAGAGAGGGGAATTAAGGGTTGCCAGGGTGGGCAGAAGAGATCAAATTCTCACTCTTTGCTGATGATATTATATCTAGAAAACCCCAAGGATTCAACCAAGAGACTCCTGGAATTGATAAATGAATTCAGTAAAGTCTCAAGATACAAAATCAATATACACAAATCAGAGGCATTCATATATGCCAATAACAGTCAAGCCAAAACTCAAATAAAAAACGAAGTGCTTTTTACAATAGCCTCAAAGAAAAGTAAATGTCTATGAATATATTTATGAAAAAGGTGAGAGACATATATAGGGAGAACTACAAAACACTAAGAAAAGGAACTGTAGAAGGTATGAACAGATGGAAAAATCTGCCTTGCTCATGGATTGGCAGAATCAACATTGTTAAAATGTTCATACTACACAAAGTGATCTACAAAATTAATGCAATCCCTATCAAAGTACCATCATCATTCTTTACAGATCTAGAAAAATAATTCTATGTTTTTTATAGAACCAGAGAAGACCTCATATAGCCAAAGCGATTTTAAGCAAAAAGAACAAATTGGGAGGTATCTGTCTACCAGACTTCAAGCTGTACTAAAAGGCTATAGTAACTAAAACATCATTGCACTGGCACAGGAACAGAGATATAGACTTTTGGAACAGGACTGAGAATCCAGACATAAAACCATCCATATATTGTCATCTAATCTTTGACAAAGTAAACAAAAATATACACTGGGGAAAAGAGTCTTTTTTCAATAAATGGTGCTGGGAAAACTGGTTAACCACAAGCAGAAGATTGAAACTGGATCCCCACCTCTCACCTCTTACAAAAATCAATTCACAATGGGTAACAGATTCAAACCTAAGGCATGAAACCTTAAGAATTCTAGAAGAAAATTTAGGGGAGACAGTTTCAGACATTGGCCTAGGGAAAGAATTTATGAGGAAGGCCCCCAAGACAATCACAGGAACAACAAAAATAAATAAATGGGACCTGATCAAATTAAAAAGCTTTTGCCCAGCCAAGGAAACTATCATTAGAGCAAATAGCTTACAGAATGGGAGAAAATATTTGCTTTCTACACATTCGATAAAGGGCTGACAACAAGAATCTATCTGGAACTCAAAAAACCAACAAGAAAAAATCAAACAACCCCATTAATAAATGGGCAAAGGACATAAACAGAAAATTTTCAAAAGAAGACAGAATAATGGCCAGAAAACATATTAAAAAATGCTCAACATCTCTAATCATCAGGGAAATGCAAATCAAAACCACAATGAGATATCACCTAACCCCAGTAAGATTGGCCTTTATCAAAAAATTGCAAAACAATGAATGCTAGCAAGGATGTGGAGAGATAGGTACACTTTTTTACTGCTGGTGGGACTGCAAATTAGTACAACCTCTGTGGAAAAGAATTTGGAGATACTTCAAACAGCTAAAAACAGAAACACCATATTAGGCATCTACCCCAAAGATCAAAGGCATTCTATAATAAAGACATCTGCACCCAAATGTTTATGGCAGCACAATTCACTTTTGCAAGGATGTGGAAACAACCCAAGTGCCCTTCAATCCATGAGTGGATTAATAAAATATGGTATATGTATACAATGGAATACTACTCAATTATAAAAAATGATGGTGATCTAGCACCTCTTGTATTTTCCTGGATAGAGCTTGAGCCCATCCTCTGAAGTGAGATATTACAAGAATGGAAGAATAAGCATCACATGTACTCGCCATCAAATTGGTACTGGCCGATCAACACTAAGGTGCTCACATTGTAGTAATATTCTTTGGGGGTAGGTGGGTTGGGGTGGGTAAACTCACAACTAATTAACGCAGTGAGCATTGTAGGGGGGAAGGGCATGCCTCAAATCATGGTTTGGGTGTTGCAAAGTCATAACATGTAATCAAAATGTTGTACCTTCATTATATCCCCAAATTAAAAATAAAAAAGAAAATCTCTGGTCTCCAGGCAAAAGACATCCCTGAAACTTCCAAGATTAAAAACACAGGATTCAGATTGTTCCTGCAGCTGATAGCTGTGTCAATGACAAGTCCTGTCAATGTCTGGGTGTTTGACATAAAGAAAACACTGACTCCGGCAGGCAGTCCATCAGTCCAACTGTATGTCCAGCTTTGGGAATCCAGCATCATATATGCTCCAGCAAAGTTAACTACAAGTTATTCTTTTGAAATTCTACCCAAATAGTGCTGTTTTAAAATTCCAGGGGAAAAAATACAACACAAAACACTAGCATGATGGAATGTTTTACAAGTTATATGCTAGTAAATCTTAAAACAACAGTGCTATTTTTATGAAACTTTAAGGAAAGCATTTTACTAGTAAGAAAATGAATATATATTTTCTAATAACATTTTCTAGAACCTCATATCTAACCTTGATTAACTTGGCATTTTGAGAATAATAGTAAGCTTTTTTTTAAAAGAAAATTGAAACTAAATGAAGGTATACAATGCCTTTTAAATGCTTTTTTTTCCTCAAGAGCAAAATTTTACAGATGTATATGAGAAAAATATGGCTTCTAAGTTTAGCAAAAAGAAATATTTCACACCGCAACATGCCAATTTTTCAAAAAAAATAAAGTATATTTAGCTGACAGATACTTGTTCTTATAAAAATATATATCTATATTGATAAAAAGATAGGTAGATGATAGATAGATTGATAGATGATAGATAGATAGTTAGATAGATAGATAGATAGATAGATAGATAGATAGATAGATAGATAGAAAAAGTCTGTCAAACCAGGAAGGATGTGGGTGGCAAAATGTTGTTCATTGAAAAAGAGGAACTGAGACTTGGAAATGTGAGTCATGTCTTGGGGTACAGAATAAAGCATAAACCCCAAGGTCATAAGGATCACATAATATTCAAGATATAAGAACTACCCTTGGATATGGGGACCAAAAGTCTAGACAACGTTCAACAAGGCAGCTAGGATCTTGCTTTTGGTCCAAATTTAAACACACAGACCAGGGTCTTTTATAAGTTTCCCATTAGAACTAGAGGCAATTAAAATGGAGCGGGAGTGGAGGGTTGTGGGCTAGTCAGAGGCCTTCAGGCACTGAGTTGGGGCACCTAGAGAGGAAGCAGTGAGGTGATAGAAGAAAAGACAGTTCCTGGTATCACATATAATTTTCAAAATTCAAGGAGTCAATGATATATTAAATATCACAATTGAAATCCAACTATTATTTGTTATGTCTACCATACTGTCTTACACAGTGCTTCTCAGAA